GGCTGGCATACGACAGACACACTTTTCTTTCATATCATCAATTACTTGAACTGTAACTGTTTTATGTGGGCTAGGTTAAGTTGGTAAACTGTAATTTTGCATTTTTTTAATTCATTGATTACACATCACAATTAGTTGATGATTTTAATTAACATCGAATTATTTAATTATTTTGTTTAAATTAACTTATCATTCAGACAACCCGGTGAATCAGTAAGATAATCTTTTTGAACCCTAGTAGGTCTAGTGACCACAGCATTATAGGGGGAAGACTAATAGTTACGATAATCGATAAGTGAATGTAAATAAGAATTGAATAATATGCCAACCACACTATATTTGTTGTGTAATTATATATAGTGGCGACGATGTCTCTCGCCCAATATCAGGGTTCGTCAGGCTGACTGGGATATGACAGACATACACTATGCTTGAACAACAATTGTTTTAGTGTGAACTAAACTGTAAACTGTAATTTAGATATTTTTTCATTTAAGGCATTACACAACAGAATTAGTTTAGACATAAAAGTTAGCTATTCAAATACAGAGGCTTCAAGCTGTTGAGGTCCTGGAGTAACAAGAACCTTGAACGCTTAATTTTTTACCTAAAAATTCGTTTTTAAAATAGTTACATTGCTAATTCTTACGAAGGTTGTGTTTGTTTGTTTGTAATTAAGCACAAAGCCACACAATGGGCTATCTGTGCTCTGCCTACCACAGGTATCGAAACCCGAATTCTAGCGTTGTCGGTCTGCAGACATACCGCTGTGCCACTGGGGGGGGCGAAGCTTGTGGCTTGTGCATTTCCAATAAATGAAAATAACTTGCAAATGAATGATCCTACTTTCAACTTGAGAAGAACCAGTTGAACCGTTAACAGCTCGTGTAAATGTTAATATACGTAATTTACAATGGGCTACTATCAAGATTTATATAGTAAAAAGGTAAAAGTTAGTATCCCAAGTTCAGTTAAAGCCATATATGTAGTATGACCCAAAATTGTTGCTTCTGTTCTTCAAAGAAAAGATAGTAGAAACACAAAGAAACGATCTTTTTTACCCTATTACTTACTAGCACTAATTACTACGTTATAATACGGTGCTAAATATACGTCGTAAACAATCATGTTCTGACAGTCTCGGGTATTTGTACGTAACGTTTGAAAGCGTACTAATTGTTAGTTGAAAAATGAATTATTGAGATGTATCACGTTTTGTTGAGTCTAAGTCTAACAAATGGTAAGATATACTACCAAGTAGCGCTTCAATAGAAGTGTGGTTATTTTCCCAGGGCGCTGTACTTATGTTGCATATTCACGAAAATGTCCAGAATGAAGATTAACTGTTCTAATCATGTTAAAATGATTCAGATTAGAACGGTTAATCATTTTAACATCTTAAATGATAACCGGCATGTTTTATTGTAAGTGCGTAAAGTTGACAGTTCGTGCCATGAATCTTGAAAATACACTAAAACATTGCCGTTGTTTATCATTTATTTTTGGCGGTGATGTCTTATTACGCATGCTTGCTGTAATATATTAAATATATGAATATTGACCATTCCCTTTGCAGAACAAGCCACACAGCACATATGTTTATTATCGTGCACATTTGAGTTTCTATTATTCAACAGTTCCTTCTTTTTTTTTCTTTTTTTTCGTTTTACTGTAATATATTTCGTTATGTTCCCAGAAAGAACACAGACTCAAAAGTGCAACTAAGCTGAAATTCATTAGATGTTTGTTTTAGAAATGAGAGTAGACTTGTGGTAGTTTAACTTTTTTGTTTGTTTCGTTGTTAAGCGCAAAGACGCACAATGGGCTATCTGTGCCGTGCTCATGCAGAGATCGAATCCCGGGTTTAGGGTTATAAGCCTTCAAGCTAAGCCACCGGGGTGGGGGGCATTCAAACTGTAAAGCTCTCTCTTGTCGTAGCACAAGTACAGAGTTCACTCTTGCTCGCGGCAGGTATAAAAATAGGATTAACACATATTAAATAAACGAGTTCGTTTTTTTCTTAAAAGAAGAATAATTTCCCGTGGGAACACAGAACTGTCATCAGTCTTTAAGTGATCTCTGATTTGTGCAACTTGAAAAGATGATTGTGGGATCAAATATCCGCGTTTAGAAGGTTTGGAGAGAGGAAATAGGGAGTTGTTTCTGTCTGCCTTTGGCGTACTCCAGTAGCTAGCATACGGTCATTATTTAATGTTAATTCTAACTTACCTGTAAATTTTAATGTTGTATAAATAGTACAGACATTCAGTGCTAATGTAGACCAAACTCAGCTTTATGTTTGTTTCCTTTTCTCTCTTGAGCGTTTTATTTCTTGACTACCATCACGCCACTACAACTATTACAACCGTCTTTGCCTTGCCAGAATATATAATTTTCCTATTAATCTTATAAAATCCTCCAGTCATTAAGGTGATTAAAACCTATATACAAGAGTATCAGAAGCTTCACAATTTTTTTTCAAGAAAAGGTAAAATGATCTTCTTGGGCTTATCGCGATCTATTAACCAGTAAATGAGAAGAAAAGTCTTGAGCTATCGTTCAAGTACTTTAATTATTTTGTCGGAAACGGTTATTAAGCGCCTTGGCAGGTAGTTTTCAAAGTAAAGTGAAGAATATACAGACACACACAATGTTTAGATTTTTAATGTTGTTTTAATTCTGGCATCACAGAATAACAATTTATTGAGAACAATAATGAATAAGCCTGGATTTCTAAATAAGAGGGGCGCAACACCACAGGTTGGGCATATCTATCTTCCTTGGGGGATCATGCAGCAGTGTCCAGATAATACAATAACATTGTGTGTTGTTTTTTACGTGTAAGTGTATATTTTACAAATTCAGAAACGTATAGTTACAATATTATGTCCATATCTATTTTTCTAATGTTTTTTATTTAATACTAAAAATACATGCTTATGAACTTAGGAAGCAAGGAACCAATTAGAGCAGACTTTGGATTAAGCCAGAGTTCAGTGGCACTCTCTGTTAGCCCGTATCGCACAGTATACAATATAGTTAACACCGTATTACACAGTTGTACAGATGGTCGGCACCGTATTGTACAGTACACAACATGGATAGGTTTGTAATGCGTGATAAAAGGCGTCATCTTATGCTACGCGTTTTGTGCAGGTCTGGAGGGGCGCTAAATTACCATTTTTGGTAAAATGGGGCTTTACCCAAAATAAAATTGAGAACCCCTGCAATAAATAATGGTGAAATTATTTTACATTTAATTTAGATTTTCTTTCTCGCGTTATCTAAAGCTGGGTTGCCTTGATATTAATTTCTAATTTAACTAATTTGTTAAGTTAGCAAGTGCCTTGCCAATTGCACGAGGAAAGCTGAGTTTGAAGATGCTATAAGGTGTGTGTAGGTTCTAGATTTTGTCAGAGACTGTTTCAAAAAGCTATTTTCTATATATTTTTTCTCTCACACAAAAACTAAAAGAAGAAGACGTTCAATTTTCACAGTTTATTATTAATTCCATTAGTTTTAAATGCAGAATGTCGCATTGCACTGGAAATATAAAATATTTTTTACTCCTTATGCATATCGTAGCTAAAATTATCGTTCAGCAACAGTATGTGTTTGATTTACTAACTATACTAAAACAAAATGAAACGTTTTTCGGTTAGGTTCAAACACGCACATAAGGCTTTACGTGTAACATATTGGCCCTGCCGCACATACACAGAGTGTACAAACTCATTTATATAACATCCACTATCATCGATCCGGCTGAGCTGATGAGAGTCAACTCAAAACAGTAGTTCTCATCAGGTCACTTTACGGAATGTGTAATCTACTTGAACGTTTCTTATTACAGGATCTACTACCTCAAGAGGCCCGAATACTTATCTTCATAAACCTTACGGCTGATTAATCTAAATATATGTTTCAAATAATGTTGTTGTTGTTTTTATAACAAGTATGAATATCAAAAATGTATAGAACAATATTTTATCTCTCTCGAGTTTCTAGTAAAACAGCTGAATGTATGGCAATTCAACTTTCTATTATATACCTGTTACGTTTTCATAGGTTTTTGTTATATTTTGTATAAGTCACTTTACGTGTCTTTGTTATACTGTATATAGGTCATTTTATAGACTGGATAAAGGTATCGTGTTTACGTGTCTCTATTGTACCGTATATAGGTCACTTTGTTGGTGTGAACAATGGTATCGTGTTTCGTTTTTACATTTCTTTGTTATACTATCTATATATCACTTTATAGAATAAAGGTATCGTGTTGCGTACTTACATTTCTTTGTTGTACTGTAGACATGTTATTTTGTAGGTCTCAAAATAGGTACCAAGTTACGTATTTACATTTCTTTGTTAAACTTTTATATAGATCACTTGATAGTTCTGAATAAAGGTAACGCGTTACGTATTTACATTTCTGTGTTATACTGTATAAAGGTAACATGTTTCGTTGTATTCTTTCTACAATGTGGGCTACTTTATAGGCCTGAATAGAAGTCTGACGTTACGTTTTTGTTTATTTTTTCATTCTGATTTTGATGTCTTATTACGCATGCTTCCTTTTAAATAACTAGTTATAAATAACAAACAACTTTCAAAGAGTAATTTGTGAACTTCCAGTTTTCAAACAAATGAAGTAGTGTGCGATGGAACTTAATATCGACATCCACTTTCTAATTTTGCAATTATGGCCAGGTGGTTAGGGCGCTTGACTCGCAATCTGAGGGTCGCGGATTCGAATCCCCGTCCCAACAAACATGCTCGCCCTTTCAGCCGTGGGGCGTTATAATGTGACACTCAATCCCACTATTCGTTGGTAAAAGAGTAGCCCAAGAGTGGTCAGTGGGTGGTGATGACTAGCTGCCTTCCCTCTAGTCTTACACTGCTAAATTAGGGATGGCTAGCGCAGATAGCCCTCGTGTAGCTTTGCGCGAAATTCAAAACAAACCAGACCTAATTTTGCAATTACTTTCTCTTTATTACAGGTATCTAGGAATGTTAGGGGCGTCGATGCCCTCCGAAGGTCCCAAGAATTATGACATTCCAAGATCTGACGAGCCTGCTAACTACGGCACGTCTATCTGTTCCAGCGTCCCTGGGCTGGTGACCAAGCAGAAGAACGTGTGTGAAGAACAACCATCCTCCATGAACGCTGTTATCGTTGGAATCAGGCGTGGCATCTTGGAGTGTCAGCAGCAGTTCCAAAGTGAACGATGGAACTGCACGCCTGAGGGAGATGACAATGTATTTGGATACACATTAACTAGAGGTGGGTTTAATGATTATTGTGTATCAAATTGCAGGTGTATATAAACAGAACCTGCTTTAGCCACTGCGGGGCCTAAGCAACATACAAAGTGCTGGTCTTCTCATCGTATTTGACAATAAAAAATAAGAGTGAAAATAGATAATAATAGTAAAAATATTTATTTTAGCACTAGCAACCATACTTTTTCAATGCATTTTGACTGATTAGTAAAAAAAATAAAAACAAAAACACAACTCGAGCATTGTTCAGTATACTAAAAAAACCTATTACTTTGAAAGACAAGAAGTTCACTGTCACTCTTTTCACAAATATTTTGTTGTAATTAAGCACAAAGATACACAACGAGCAATCTGTGCTCTGCCTACCACGGGTATCGAAACCCGGTTTCTAGCGTTGTAATTCCGCAGACATACCGCTGTGCCACTGGGGGACTACCAAATATTAAGGGAAACAAACACGCCGGCAAATATATATCATTATTTTATTTATATAGACTACATCCTTACATTATATATATAACAAGGTCGGGGTTTGGGGTGGCCTGGTGGTTAGGGCACTTGACTCGCAATCAATCTGTGGGTCAAGGGATCGAATCCCGTCAACGGAAATGCTCACCCTTTTAGGCGTGTGGGTGTTATAATGCGGTTATCAATCTCAATATTCGTTGGTGAAAGAGTAGCCCAAGAGTTGACGGTGGGTGATATTGATTCCCTGCCTTTTCTCTCTTTTATCATTTCAAAAATCAGGGACGGCTAGCGTAGTTAGCCGTGGAGTAGCTTTGGGCGACATTTAACATAACAAACAAAAAACATAACAAATTCAAACCGCCTGTACGTATCATGTATATTTTGAAACGAGCTTATCGATTCATTGAATCGCTTTTAATGTTGGAAATTGTATAACAGAGCGACTGAGGTACGTTATTCGGTAAAGGTGTGGTTTTACAGCTTCCTCTGTAAGAAGCAGTCATAAAGGTATATATATATATGTGCAAGTCACCTTAGCAAGGGGGTTCGAAAGGCAGCTAGCTGCCTTGCCTTAAGGCTGACTTTGTATCGGAACAGAACAAGTTAAAATATATAAAATTATATTTGTTTATTTTATATCTAGACGTTCATCAAAAATAATATGATCAGTATTAGTTTTGGTTCAGATTAGTTTGTGTTATTAAAGCAAATTTGAA